GGATGAAGGCTGCCTGGGGGGGGTCACCTGTTTTAACCATTCACACCACCGTATAATACTGTGTTGTCTGTCAGTAGACACTAAAATGACATCACATAAGGGACACAGTAAAGCGTGTGTATGCCATGAATTACAAGAAGAATTATGTATTCTGTGGACTACAACACAGCATGACATATGAACTTCAAATAATAATTGAAGAAATACATTTATCATTCAGGAAAATTATAACTTTCAGCATTTAGATATAAGTGCAATTTAAGGGTTATTGTTATTAGTCACAGATGTGTACAGACAGTTAATAATTTGTGATTATTGTTACTACTGTAGGTTTCTCTTTCACTTGGGTGGGTCATATGGTCCACCGGGATCACCTTGTGTTCATTCCTGCACATGTGTTTTTATGTTGTAATATTTTAAAGTAATCACTTTTTAATATATTTCAGTAAGCAAAGACACTACATGTCCTATTGTGCTGAAGTTAGTACTTCAAGGATTAGCTGCTGATTGGGCAGTGGACATTGGCAGACTTCTGACATTAGAAACTAACTGTGATACCACTGAAAACTTTCAAAAGAGTAATGTCAAGAATTCAAGTAAATATTTGATGTTTCATAATTGGTATTATATAAACATTAATTAAGTCATTACCAAAATTTTTAATTCACCTGAATGGAATGACACTAGGAATAATTTATTGAATTAATGGTCATGTTTTAAAGGTATAGAATATGGTTTATCAAAGGAATGTTTTACTGGCTTATTTACTAATGCTCCAACTTATTCAGATTACAGTATTTTTGTATTTCAGTGTTCACTGTGTTACCTTAATCACAATTACATGGTCTTTTTTTCTCTTTTTTTAACATATATGTCACATTTTTGTTTTAAGAAAAATATACAGGGTCATTGAATATTATATGATGTTTTTCAAACTTAAACCACAACAAAGCAGTAATAATTTATGAACATACAGTTGTGGTGTGTGAAGAGCACATGTTTGCAGCTTTTTACCAAAATAAGTGAATCACATATAAGATAAGATATTAACAAATGTGGTGACAGAGAGGGCTACATGTATCCTATGGTTAGCAGAGACATTACACAAGAAAGTAGCTGCAATGAGCTGATTTCCAGGGCAAACATGATCACCAGACATTGTTCCTCAAACTTTTTCATCAGAGGTTATGTGAAGGACATCATCTAAAGGACAAAGGTGCCCAATCTGGGGATACTATGTGTACAGATCACCAGTATAATAGCTACTGAGATGGCTGTTATGCTTGCTAACGTATGGATGGGAATCAAATAATGACTCTATCGTTAGGGCCAAAAATGGAGCATGTGTAAAAGTGTATTGATGGCAAATTGTGTGTGGCAAAAAGCTCCATTCATGTACTCATCATTCAGCACAAACCTTTAGTGTAATTATGTCTCTGTAAAGAGGCATACTTTTTTTCTATTGTTTCTTCTTCTTCCAAACACTTTTCAATCGACCACTATTCCTTCATTTCTTGGGGGATTGACTTGAAACTTGGTAGGATTATACCTTGGTCTAATATTCCCAGACATTTTTTTGATTTAGGCCTTTTTTAAGGATTTTATGAGGTCAAAGGGCAAACAACCTAGACATGTATATTTTTGGGCTCCTGTGCCCACAGCAATCAAGATAAAAATTGGCACATTGGATTTGCCCATTTTGAAGTCTTTTGTTAGGGGGGGTCAGAATTCATCAAAAAAACCCATAATTTTAGGGTTTTTTGGTCAATTAATTGGCCATATTCTGACCAATTTATATGGGATTTGGTACAAAGATACAGGCCCCACACATTGACAAACAAAAATTTTGGACTTGCCTATTTTTTAGTAATTATAGGGGACTCAAGATGCCACAAAATGCATAATTTTAGGATTTTTTGACAATTACTCTGCAGTATTTTGGCCAATTTAAATGGGATTTAGTACAAAGATACTTTTTTTACAGGTCCCATATATATATATACAAAAATGTGGGATATGCCAATTTTTGGTAGTTTTTTACAGGTCCCAAACAGAGATATAGACAATTTTAGAGTTTTTGTCTTTTGATAAATGTTTCTGCGAGGAAAGTACAATTTGGGTTTTTGTGAACTTTCATGTGTATGTCAACCAACATACATGGGAATTGGTACAAAGACACCTCCTTTGCAGGTCCCAAGGATGATATAGAAAGTTTTCGATTTTTTAAATGTTTTAAAAAAATTTTCTAATGTCAAAATTGGCCATGTTGAGATTGTGTGATGGAGACATACCAGCATATGTTGGTCTCTTTAATTCTTACTGTCTTTTCATGGTTCAAGCTGCATACATGTGCTTATCATCGACCACAAACCTTAAATTTGTAATATGTCACATAATTTTTGGACATACTGTTTATGTTTTCACAAAGGAGAGAAGTCAAGTGCTTCATTGTGAATATTTTTTTGTTTTAATTTTATAATAAAATTAAAGTTGATTATTGAATTTTATTCTTGGCATATAATGAAATATTTTTGACTTATGTTGAGTAAATAGAATGAAGGTAGTTGATATTAAGAAAATAAACTAATTAACTATGAATTTTGTAGATGTGCTAGTATTGTTGAAATGTTGGTATTTTGTCTGATGAGTTACTTTAATACCAGAAGATTGAATCATTACAAAATTTTTGAGCTGACATGGTATTTCTATTGTTGTATCTTTAGAATTCACACCACCTTGGGAGTGGAAGGAGGGAAGACTCCTTGCTTATGAGTTAATTTTGCACTTCATCCTTCAGAACCATTTAGCATACACTTTTGGACCAAGCAACCTACAGCTTAGTGGACTGGATGGAAGGGAGTGAGTTTTATTTTAACACAACCAAAATTACCTGCCCCCAGTGACAGGAAAAGTTTTTTGTCAGTTCTTCATGCAGACTGTTGTAATAGGCAAAAACATAAAATTACTGAGTATGATGCAATATGTGGACCCTCCTGTTTGTAAACTTATAAAAATACGTTCGTAATTTTAGTTCTAAAGGAATGTTTACCTTCTCCAACATTTTATTTTTCATAAGCAAAGAAGCTAGTTTTTTGTATAGATTTACGTAAAACAGGAATACTTTAAATTTACCAGTGAAAAGCATTTATGCAAGAAATAAATACATTTCAGAGCAATGAGAGCTTAGAAGTTGTGATGATTTTATATTTAATATGTTCATTTCTTTTTCAAAAGTTAGTTAACTACATTTCCTGAGTTTTATTTATATATATATTTTTTTAATTATTTGGTTTCTGTATAAGGAAATTAGTTTTAAACGACTGAATAAGAACATATTTAAAATTAACAAATGTATACATGAACAGTTATTGAAAAATATTAAAAAAAATTTTCTTTTGTTTGGAACTGTAATTTTTCCCATCAAGTATATTATCTGAAATCCAAACAGTTAAACTCAATGTATTAATGTTTTTTTTTATGATTTATTATTTAAAAGTTTATGACGTATTAAGTTCAGAAATAACAATTTAACTCATATTTTAATTTCTTAGATCAAAAAGATAGATTATACAGGCAGCTGGTTAGTGTTGTGTAAAACAAAACATATATATATATATATATATTTTTTTTTGTTAGACCTTCTGTTGTTTATAGTTGGTTAATCTTTTTGGAATTAAAAACAAATTATCAGCAGATTACTGCCAAATAAACTTTCTGGCTTAAACTATTCTTGTATACTTTATTTTTATTATCAGAAACTGTAATTATTGTCTGAACCATGTTTAGGTCCAGCTGTTCTCAACTTCAACCTAGGAGAAGGCACAGTTTAGTCCCATCTAAAAGTCTTCAGATTGCTGCAGGGCTAGGAAGTGAGGGAAGGGTGACTCCCATTGGCTTAAGCACCATCCTGAGACAAGAGTAATTAAATATTTGAAATTTCTCCATCTCATTTTTACATTTTCGTCTTTTAAAGGATATTAACTAGTAAATTTTATATTTTCTGGCTAAACTGCTAACTTTTTCTCAAAAACAGAAATTAGAAATTAACTCTCTTTCTTTTTCTTTGTTTATTTTAATGTTTTAGTCTGCAATTTAAAATAACCAGGATACCACTTCAAAATGATATATGTATGTGATGATTTAGTAGTACAAAGTACCTGCTTGTAACAAAGAAATTTGGTCTGTTAAAGATGTTAGAAACAAAATTCCAGTTGAAAGTTTTATGTTAAATAAACAAAAATGTGTTGAGAGTCCTAATGATTCCACTCTATATAGTTGACAAATATCTCATAAATCATCACTTAAATGTAAACTTCAACCATTTCAGTTGTCTTGATTAAAAAGTTATTGTTAAATTTTGGATATTACATAAAAAAAACAGGTCAGGAACAAAACACGGGATAACAACAATTTGTCTTCCAGACAACTTTTTGATATCTTGAATATTTTTAAATATACATATGTTAAAATTAAGCATAATTTTATGAGCAATTGGCTTGTAGTTGCTCTACTCACCATCTATATAATTTAGTCTACTGGTTTGAGTTTTTGAATATTAATTTGATTAAATATGTTTTTAGTAGTAGAGTATGCTGATAACATAACACTACTTGCAAATGTTTTCTTGTCTGTGAATTTGTCATGATGAATTGCAAAACTGATTTGATCATAGTGTACGGTTTGTTATTCAGAAATGTTAGATTATTTGTATGAGGTCATAATGAATTGGCCCGGCATGGCCAGGTGGTTAGGGTGCTCAACTTGCAATCTGAGGGTCGTGGGTTTGAATCCCTGTCACACCAAACATGTTTGCCCTTTCAGCCGTGGGGGGTGTTATAATGTGACGGTCAATCCCACTATTCGTTAATAAAAGAGTAGCCCAAGGGTTGGCGGTGGGTGGTGATGACTAGCTGCCTTCCCTCTAGTCTTACACTGCTAAATTAGTGATGGCTAGCACAGATAGCCCTTGTGTAGCTTTGTGCAAAATTAAAAAAACAAACAAACATAATGAATTATTTTTCTTCCACAGTCTATGTTCTTTGTCTCTTAGATGATACTAATGAGTAAATCACTATTTTTTCTCAAGATATATTGTTTATTCTTCATCTATTAGAAAACATGGCTTTGTTTTCCTTATTTTTTCTAAATAGAAAGATTTTTCAACTTTCAGATGACATGATTTTGCAGAAAACTGTGAAAATATTTTCGATGTATGAAAATATATTAGTTTAGTAACTTCCTGCTATTTCTCATAATATTTCATGTTCCTTATGTTTTAGGAGATACATAAAATCCTCTTTATTTTATTCTTCTTTGTTTCTTCTCCAGCTTTGTTTGTTCTAATCCAGTCCCATTCAAACTAGCCAATGGGAAGCTTGATTTGTAATAAACATTCCACAGAGAGCTACAACAAAATATGAGTGAAGATGTTAAATTGTAAAGTTTGAGTATTTGCTTAGTGACAGAGAAGCAGCTAACATGTGATGAATATGCTATGGTATCAGTAGACTACCAAGATTGCATACTTAATTTTGTTTAACTTTAGAAAAAACATTGTATCATGTGAACAGAATTCTTAAGATACATATAATTTTTGCTTGGCCAATGATAGAACTTTCTTTTCCATATACTGTTTGCTCATTTGTTCTATAATTAATATGTGTTAATAGGCTTTGATATGTTTATGAATATTCTCCTGACAGGATTCATTACTCAATGTCATAAAGCTTTAAGATAGATTAACTTATTTGGCATGTTCTTAAGACTATATATAAACGACTTTCAAGATCTACATATCTACATGTGCCGATGTTTCCGTTTATCGACGTTATGTTTTAAGATCTGTGCAAGAACTCAGCTAACAGATGCTTCCGCATATAAAAGCTATCTTCAATAACTAATCTTAACAATTTTGATGAACCCTGAGTAACATCACATTCTTTCATTCTGATGATTTTATATTTCCTGTATCTATATCTTGTTTTATGTTTAAATTTGTTTCTTTTCTTTTATCTAGAAGCCCAAGATTTAAGACCTCTAAAAGACAACACTCAGAAACTTCATTCAATAAAACAAAGACAAGTTTCTCTGGAAATGTTGGCTCTGCTTTAATAAACTCTAAACGAGCCAGCGATAAAATTTTTTTTCATTCATCTGTTGTTCGACAGAATTCTGATGACTTGCATCATTTAAATAGACAATACCAAAGAAGAGCATCAGTGTCACCAACCTTTCTTTTCGGTCCCCATTGTTTCCAGGGGAAGATTTATCCTTATTACTTCTTGCACACCATGCAGATGGTATATTTGACTTGGATGAATATCTGCCATATAAGGTAAGAAAAACTTTACAATTTATAACGTATAAACACATATTCATAATATATATTTATTTAGTCCATCAACCCTATATCCATAAACACTTGGATACAAATAGTAATGGACACAATATTGTTAAGTGTTTACAAACATTTATCTACAGAATATTTTTATTTAAAAAGTTTTGCATTATTACAGTTCAGAAAGTTGACAGTGAAAGTTTTTATCATTACGTACTATAAACTTTTGCTTTATTTGTATGAAGTAGAACAAGAACCGTAACTGGTACAGATTCAAAGTGCATACACCATATTTGTATTTTGACATATGGATTCTTTATTTCCAAATCCTTCCAGATTTTCCAGTTCTTGCTGCTTTAAACTCAGTGTTTCATCTTAATATTTCACCGGGAAGTAGCCAAGTGTGTATTTTGCTAAGGTGTACTCAACATTTCTTTCTTTGTGAAGTTGGGAATTTTTGCACCTAAAATCTGATTTGACTATGTTGCTTTCAAGTGGGATTTCAGATGCACGTTTGGCTAATACGTCTCCAATCTAGATAATACTAGCAGTCTTATAATTGGTAATGCAACAGCAGCTTTTTAATTCACTTGCTCTATTTTTAAAACTTACAGAAGCTATCTGTATAAAACTGTTGTTAAATTACAGATAAACCATACTTGTACACACAAACCATGACAATTAAGTACAAAATATTAAAGTACCAGAGTTAAATAGCATGCTGGTATTAAGATTAATGATTTCCTATGTTGCTTAACTGTACAAGAAGTTTTAATAAGTAAAATATATAAATACTTCTATTTGTAGATTGATTGTCACGAGCCCTCTAATGTCAAAATTATCAACTTGCATACCTTTATCTATAAATCTGTGTTTAAAATATTACATATATATGTGTAATTTCACAGTTTTTATATGTCTTTTAAAATCTGTATATTTCCTTAATTTATTTATCAGGCAGTTAAATGACATATTTCAGTTAATTATGACTGTGGGATCCACTGTAGGAGATATTTGTGTAAATTTTGACTGAATATCTATCAGTTAATAGAACTAATCTTAACAATGTGTTAATTATAGCTTTTTTGTCAAGAAACACAAACTTCAGAGGCTTTTACTATGCGAATTTTGTGCTCTGCTTGCTGAGCAAAATTGAGCTTTTCTGGTGTTTGCTCGTAAGGAAGGAAGGAACTTTGACAAACACAAATAACTTTTCCTGTGGAGAAAAATATACATCGTTTATGTTTGAAACTTTAATTGTCTTGTCATGGATGCCATGTTATTTAAATGTATTATGAGCTTTATGGTCAAATTGTAGGAACCATGTTTCTTTTTACGTTAATACTGTAACCAAGTTACTTTTTCTGTGATGTTTCCTGCTTAGATTATTACTGAATAAATTAATAATTATAGTAACCTGTCATTCAAAATTCTGGTTTAAAGGTACTTTCCAGTTCATTGTAAGGAAGGAACGTCTATCCTCTGTAAGGGCTTTGGTTATCATGTAAATGTAATGATTTGATAGTGACAGATTTTGAAATTATAAAAAAATGTTGTAAAGTTTTATAGTTAGAGGAAAGGATAAAAATTGTTTTAATCATACACATATTTATACAACAGTAAATGAGGCAAACTTAATCTTGTAGTGTAAAAGAGAAATAAGTTAAAATATGCATGTGTGTGTATATTTATAATTACAGGAAATACTTGGTTGGGAAGGCATCTAATTCTAAGACATTCTGTGGAATTTTAAATTACAAAATTTCCACTAAATAAGAAAATAACCTTTAGAATATTGTACACTTTTGTAAAATTCTTTATCTTCCACTGTGTTACCTAGTGTCTTTCAGTGTTTTATGTTTGAAAAAATGGAGTAGTTACTGTTGATCAAAACCTAGGCCACATTTCCCACTAGACCAACTACGCACTGTCTAGGGCCCCACTCTTTTAAGGGGCCCCATGTTTGTGAAGCCTGGATAGATAATTTTTTACAAGTGTGTGGCTTTGATAAGGAAAAAAGATAGCAAAAAAAGCAAATTACAGGAAAGAAATAAACAAAAAATTTCATTTTATTTCTGCTAAAGGCTCACCAAAACCTAAGTATAAACTTTACTCAAGCACATTAGACTATGTTATGTATACATGTAAAAGTAAATATTCTTTTACAACTGATCCTGAAAGCAAGTATAATTTTTCGCTGATCAGTAATATCTTATCATCTCCCTCCCCAAACTTGCTTGCTCTTTCAGCCATGAAGACATTATAATGTGACAGTCAATCCCACTATTCATTGGAAAAAGAGTAGCCCAAGAGTTGGTGGTGAGTGGTGTTGACTAGTTTCATTCCCTTTATTCTGACAATGCTAAATTAGGGATGACTAGTGCATATAACCCTCGAGTAACATTGCACAAAATTCAAAATACCTTATCAAACTGCGTTTTTGAAAATGACATAGATTGATGATTGAAATATTTGTATTTAATCTTGAAGCTGTAATACTTGTAAAGAGTGTTACTGAATTATATGAAAAAACAAAGTTGATATTGTTTTTGTCAACTTCAATCCAGACTTGTTTTCTGTTGTTTTTCTTTTTTGTCTCACTTAATGCCCATCCTCCTTTTTGTTTTTCAAACGTTCTGTACTCACAGTAGTTTGGTTTAGTTGCTGAAGTAAATATTTTCTTGAGCAACAATGGCAGGAACATCATATAAAGTTTATTAATTTCAGTGTAGTGATCAGTAAAGGCTGTTTCTTTTTACGTTAATACTGTAACCAAGTTACTTTTTCTGTAATGTAAAGTTTTTTGTCGTTCTTTTGATGACTTGGTAAACATATGACTACTGTATACCTTAAAAGCCATTATTAACGATCACTTTCATCAAGTTACTTTTCTGTGATGTAAAGTTTCTTGTCTCTCTCTTGATGACTTGATAGACATATGATTACTGTATAATTTAAAAACTTTATTGAAGATTTGTATATAACATGAAATACTGTGTTTTACAGTTATCTGGTGTAATGAAGTTGGAAAATCCTAGATATCCAAAGATATGCAGCCCAAGAACATCATGTTATAGAAATTCAGAAACTACTACTGTCACAGTGGAATCCAGTTGGATGAAGAATATTCAATGTCCTCCTCTTGTTTCTATTATAGCTTACATATTGCTACAAACAGTAGAATGTCTGGGTGACAAACAGTGGGAGTTACAGAGAATGAGTCGTCAGGTACAATTGAACAGTAACACGTAACACAGTTTTCTAGTCCTAGAGCTTATATTGTTTTAAAAGTCTTGTGATAGTTAAGATTCGGACAAGGTACCTTACTTCCACTCACATACATAACTAATCTTGTTCAGTGCTGCCCTCTATTTAAAAAAATTTTTCACATGCCATAAGCCTTTTACTTCCACACACCTGTTGAATCACATTTTTCAACTGATTCTCTCATGTAAATTATCATGCAACAAACCTCCACCAATAGTAGTGCCACACACTCACGTGACTCCCTGATATTCTACTTAACTATCACTTATATGGCAATGCTCATTTTCAGATGTTTAGTTTGTGCTCTCTTCAAGTGTTTTTTTTTTCCTCTTGTCTTTGTATCAAGTTCTCTCAACAATTTTACTGTTTATTATACAATAGTGATACTTGTAACTTATTTTGACTCAGAATTATTTTATATTTCTACCCAGTTATGGAACTTAATACTTCATTACAAATTTTTTCTACTTTTTATTTCTTACTGCTTGTTTGTGTTTGGTTATTAATTTTGAATTATGTATTCCGAATTTTACTTTACTACTTTGGAGGTTATATCTTCTATCAGCACATTTACACAAAATACAGATGACAGTCCTCAACTGTGGAATTATTGGCTTTACTTCATGGGAAGATTGAACGTTCAATGAGCTGACCTTCATTGGGCCTTGATTCAAGTTTGGGGGCCCAGAATTATGATCCGCCGACGAAAAGATAAGACGTTATACTGTTATGGTTTGTGAATATTTTTACTGTTAATATTATTATTATCTGTAGTTATATGGGTTCAATAACATAGGTTTAATTAGATTCGTCAATACTCATAGTCAAGTTCAGGTTTGAAATTAGAATTTAGTTGTATCCTTTGACCTACAACATTAAATTAGGCTTAACATGGGTCTTCGTTATTTTAGGATTACCTGTAATTCATCTTACTGGTATATCATAAATTAAGTTAACTATATAGTTTTTTCTCAAAACATCACATCTCATGCACATATTATTGTCAATACACACTTACTAAAATTTACAATATAATTATAATTTCATTTTCGTTATTATTTATCGTTTATATTTCTTCATAATAACTTTGTTTCTGTGGACCCTTGGAACCAGAGTCTGCACAAACTTCTTCTTCCAATATTGTATGTATTATTGCTAGGTTAGGGTTTTTAAATTAGAGATTAGTGATATACTTTGTCCAGCACAGTCCCATTAGGCTTAAATAATGTCTATTACTTTTGGTTTATTTGCAGTTCATCTTACAGGTCAATTGATAATTAGGTTATGTATATTGTTTTCTTCTACACATAACATCTAATACATATGTTTAATTCACTACACACTTACTTAAATTTACATTATATCAACTATTTCATTGTCGTAATTCTTTATAATTTATACTTACAATTAATTAAGTTTGTGAAGAACCCTGGGGGCCACCCTACCTTCTCCTGATATTGCTCACCTTCCTCCTACAACTGCCAAACTCGTTTAGGACAATCTAGATTTTGTCAGTTTTTCTACATCTGATTATGGCTTGCCTTCCCAGGTCTTTACTGTAGAATCTGCTAGGCATACCTCAGCCTTTTTTTAGACATGTTTCACAGTATACTTTTTCCCTCCTTTTCCAGGCATTATGTTTCATGATGAGCATTTTTGTCTCTATTTTGGGAGAGGGTACTTGCATGCCTCACTCTACACAAGCTTTGGTTCATGTTCCCTTAGCTTACCTTCAGATTTTATTCTGATTCTGTGTACTTAAAATCTCTGTCATCTGTAAGAGGGGGGGGGGGCAGTCTCTGTTAATTCCATCCATTTTATCCCCCATCTAGTTTTCCAGCTACATCTTTCCCTATAGCCTCTCCTGCAGGAAATGTCTACCTTACACCCCTTTCTTAGGCATTCCACCAATATCTAGGGGATTTTGGTGGGATACTTCCTCCTCCTTCCCTCCCTGTTGAGGCATTTGCCATCTTCAGTTCTTTCCCACCATAAGAAGCTTCTTTGCTTTTAGGATTGTCTGGGGTGGGACACTGTCTTGTACCATTTGCTTACCATTCACTTCTAATAGGGACTTACTTTTTCTCCACCGGGCTGTTTTTTGAGGCGTATCTGTGATGCTATATTCTTATCTTTTGTTGGTTGCTCTTTTGTTTCATTCTGACCCATTGCCATTTTTATCCATGTTCTATGTTCGACATGTTCTCGTCCTTTTAACTGTCCTACCTATTTGTTGTGTATGCTTTCTGCCTAAACTCGAAGTGATAGTGATGTAAAATAGCATAGAGGGAGTCACATGAGTGTGTGGCACTACTATTGGTACAGGTTTGTTGCATGATAATTTGCATGCAAGAATCAGTTAAGCCATGTGAATCAAGAGGTGCATGGGAATGAAAGGCTTGTGGCATGTGAAAATATTTTTGCAAACAGAAGGTAGCACTGAATGAGAATAGTTATGTATGTGAATGGAAGTAAGTATTTGTTGGAATTACATTTTCAGTGCAGGAAAATTAAAACTTACAACAAAAATTAGAAATTTTAAGATAGTAACTGTCGATCATGTTCATTTAATCATAACAAGAATAGCATTAAATACTAGAATATAGAAAAATTCATGTTTTAACTTTTTTTAAATGCCAAAGTCAATATACAAGCTGTTTTTGTAAGACCATTGAACTAATTCTCTAGAAATATTTTTTTGTCTGATTCTAGAGTGAAAATGTTGAAAAATTAAAAAAATCTATTACAGGTTAACGAAAAGACAAAATGTATAGTTTGGTAAATGCTAGGTAAATAATGTTATTTTTTGAATAAACAAAAACTGAACAGAAAATGCTTGAGCATTTTAAAATTGGAGACTGAAGCTGATGTGAAGTTCCCATTTAACATTTTACATAATTTTCTAAATTTCATTGACTATTATTATCATTTTTCTCTAGATACAGAAGTCTAATCAAAAACACCTTAGGTGTGAAACAAAAGGTGTAGCCAAAAAAAAAGGATTGAATGTGAGACTTAAAGGAATGAAATCAAAATTGGTGGCCAAATTGGTAACTACACTTATAGCATTGATAAGAATTTTACAGCAAATCTTCATTCATTAGTTAGCCAGGTCACATTTTTTATTTATCTTGGGGCATAATGGTAGGTAAAACAAAATATGCAGCCTAGCTAACTAATGAATTAATATTTGCTGTAAAATTCTTACCAATACTATAAGTGTAGCAACCAATTTGGCTGCCAATTTTGATTTCATTCCTTTAAGTTGCATGCTCAGTACTTTTTTTGACTGTACATTTTTTTCACATCTAAAGTGTTTTTGATTAGATATCATGACTTTTTGTCAATACTCACCAACAAACCATAGCAAGTAAAAAAGTGACACTTGATAGTAACCAGTACTAGCTTTAGGCATGCAACCCTATTATTCACAACTGACCTATACTTTACAGATCCAACAGATTCTTTAAAATATATGGTGATAACTTTTCCTCTCTAAAACAACTGTCTTTAATCTGAATGACAAGATACTAAAAATGGTCCACTTTTAATCTTAGGTGAAACTGGTAAAAATTTCAGACGAATAGCTCATGTGACTTTATGCATGGGCATGCACAAAAATTTGGGTCAAAATTGAGCTGTTTTGTTGAATAACTTTGCACCTGTGGCTTATATTCAGACCAAACTTGACACCTAATTATAGGTTGTAAACATTTATCAGTGTACCAAATTTGAAGAAAGTCCATCAAAGTTAGGTATGTTTTTTTTATCAAATACATTTTTGGTGAGATTGGTGTAAAGAAAAAAGGAAAAAATCCAATCAAAATTGGAGATATCTCATGTGTTTCTTAATGGATTGCTTTGAAATTTGGTATGTGAAGTAAGGGTTCACTAGAGCACTTCCACTGAAAATATGGATTAGTTTGAATTAACACAGTCTGAACTACAGAAAGTAGAAAATTGTTAAACTATCACTCCTGTTAATAACAGTTTGGTATGTGATGTAAGGGTTCACTAGAGCACTTCCACTGAAAATATGGGTTAGTTTGGATTAACACAGTCTGAACTACAGAAAGTAGAAAATTGTTAAACTATCACTCCTGTTAATAACAGTTTGGTATGTGAAGTAAGGGTTCACTAGAGCACTTCCACTGAAAATATGGATTAGTTTGGATTAACACAGTCTGAACTACAGAAAGTAGAAAATTGTTATACTATCA